GATATTGGCAACACATCAATCCATAAGAAACTCTCTACATCCATCATTATATATCTTGTTCTCTTTCTTGTGAAAGCATTTGCCATGAAAATATTTGCTAAAGATAATGAAATTTTTGAAAAGATCTATGGGATGGATTACAAGTGCAGAAAACAAATTTATCATTGTTGGAACATATAATTTATCAGAAATTGGATGCATGCAATCCATTGAACTTGAAAAGAATGTGCACAAAAGGTATACAACAAAATTTGGATAACAACAAAGATTTGTTGTTCTCCAAGAATAATTTGAAAATATTTGTTGTTATCCAAGAATCCATCATCAAAATCTGGATTTGTTTAAACAACGTATTTTAATATTCTGTGTAAAAAATGTAATTTTAAAAAATAAACTTACTCCCCTCGATTTTTTTATAGAAACCGAGATGCATGTGGCGTTTGGGATGAAACACATTCTATTGTATTTTTATTTAAAAAGAAACACATTTTACATCGATTTTGAGTAATAACCTATGGGAAATATAAGCATGATTATTGATTTTCTTCACCGTCCTTAAACAAATCTCTGTCGTCCATTTAATACATATCGAAACTCAAGACACTATCATTAGTGATACATTTAAAACCTAAAAGACATTATAAAAACATTTTGAATATTTAAAATTGATAATGAAACATTTGAGATGAAAACTTTGAAACACAAAGAAGCTTGAAAAAGTTCTCTATGATGGATTGTAAGAGCAAAAAATTATTTGGGTTCAAGGTTTGAGTTCTTAAATTATCATATAACATAATATTTATTTTATTTATCTAACCCTTTTTGTTTTGTTTTATATCAGAAACAAATGCATGAAATATCCAACATTTTATATTTTCCTCAATGAAACAAGGATCCATCATATGTTCTTCCCTAAGATATCCCGCATTTATTCTTCATCACAATGATGAGGATGAATCAGATTCAAAACTTGTTATATATTTTTACTTTAATATTCTATGTAAACAATGTAGTTTGTAAACAAATTAATTAATTTATTAATATTCTGTGTAAAAAAGTAACGAGTATTAAAAAAAGAATTTATCTTTCCCCTTATTTTTTGCTATAAGTCGAGAGGTATGTTGCTCTAGTTTTGAAAATATAAAAACACTATTGATGATGATCGAACCAATGACCATTTCCACTATCCCCTCAATTATTCTAAAATCGAGCGGTATAATGGAGAGTTTTCATGACGCCCTTCGCTACCTTATCTCTGTAATCGAGGTTAAATCAACTTTGCGTCAAAGGTTAAATGTATTTTTTTTGTAGTAGTGTCTATAACTTGTTACTAAAATCATCAATGAATATGACAAACTATTCGATGCCTCCTATTGAATCCATTTGCATAGGTCCACATACATCAGAGTACACCACTTCAAGTTGACACTTGATTTTTCTTTTTGCTTCTTTGGTAAAACTATCTCTATGTTGTTTAGCTTGAACACATTCTTCACACACTTTTGATGGTTTAAGTATCTTTGGTGAGCCTGAAACCATACCACATTTATGCATATAATTGAGATATCTGAAGTTGAGATGTCTAAGTGTATAATGCCAAGTCCATTCCTTTCTACTAGTAGTTGTTGCCAATCACATACGCTTATCATATTAAGCCCAATCTTAAAGGTTATATTCTTTGACATGTGGGTCTTTAGAATCAAATTTCCCTTTGAATATATAAATTTAAACACTTTATCTTCCATGTGAATCTTGTAATTCTTTTCAAGCAATTGTCATATGCTTAAAATAGTACACTTGATTCCATAAAAGTACAAGACATAAGAAATTAAAAAATTCTCACTATTCTTCCTCCTAATTGATACATCATCAATGCCATCTCTTGATAGTGTGCTATCATATACAAACTTCACCTTATTATTCATAACTTGATTGATACTTACAAACTAACATTTTCTTCCAATCATGTGAGTTGAACACCCTAAGTCGAGGTACCATTGATAATTATATTCAACATCTTCTCTTGTGGTTAGAAGAATATTTTCTTTAGTTGGTATTCGAATACAGGATTTTTGTATTGAACTACAAGATGTTTGTATTTGACTACAACTTTCTTCAGCAACAATCACCATTAATAGGGTGTTATCATCATCATTTTCTTTCCTAGAAAGCTTTGCTTCATCTTCCCGTGAATCTTTTTTGTTGTCATAACATTAATCAATGAAGTGTCTAAACTTTTGACAATTGTAGCATTGGACATATCTCTTGTCAAATTTCTTCTTGCCACATTTTCCTCTATAGCTTCGACCACCTTCATAGCCATTATTAAATCCACCACAATAGTTATTACTACTTTTTCCTTTTTGAGATATTAACTTATTGGGATTTTGAGAATTCCCGTACCATTTTCTATTTCCTCTATTGTCTTTATTAAATTGTGCTTGCAATGTAACCTCTACCTTATCAATGCTTCTTTCATCCATTATATGTTCATGTGCTTTGAGAGAGCTATGTAGTTCTTCTTTGCTCATCTTGGAGAGATATTTGAACTCTTCAATTGCCACTACCACATTATCAAATCTTGATTTTAAATATCTCAAGATTTTCCCAACCATATTTTGTTCACTGATTGATTCTCCACATGTTTTAATTTGATTCATCAATCTTGTGATTCTTGTTACATAATCATTAAAAGTTTCTTTCTTATCCATTTGAATAAATTCCAATTGCATTTTGTGAGTTTGTAACCTCACCACTTTTGCCTTCTCTGCTTCTGTATACAATTTCTTAAGAATTTCCATGTTTGTTTTGAAGATTCACAATCTTCAACCTTCTCTAAATTATTTGCATCAACACACAAATGTATCAGGTACAAGGCTTTGTAATCTTTCATGTTTTCTTTTTTATGTGCAACCCTTTGTGCAACAGTTACTTTAGCTTGAATTGATTTCACACCATTCTTGATCACTTCAAAAACATCTTGATAACCAAACACCATCCTCATCTGTTTAGACCATTTATCATAATTTTTTGCATCAAGATTTGGAAGGTTTGCAAGAATTCGTTTATTCAGGGTTGAGTCCAATATATATCTCTAACGGTTACTCCATCCTCGCACGTTTGGTACCTAGATACATATCTGTTATCATGCAAAAGTTTCAAGAATTGTTGCATTTCATTTCTATCCCCCTCAATGCCTTTTTATTTTGATACCAAATATTGTAGACTTTCGTGATATTTGCGACATTTCTAGGTCTTTTATGTTTAAAAGTTGCAAGTATGTTTTTCGGTCGAACCAAATTCAGTGTCATGTCTGAAACACATTCATTCTCTTCTGGCATGAGGCGACATGCAATTGGATAACCGACTAACTGTTCACATAAGTCATGGTTATGTAAATCGCATATCACATTAAATATCCATTTGATATTTGCCAACATATAACCACACAACTTAAACTGGCACTCACATTTTCTTAAACTGATGTCATCGCGTTTCAAATTCAAATAGGAGGTATATACTTCCCACTTCTTTTACATCTCATTGTCACAAATGCACCTCTGATAACGAACCATTACTGAACCTTCCGATTACAACACCAAACCCCGATTTAGATGCCTCCATACGAATCCATTGAAGCATGTCATCACGAAATTCAAACTCTTCATTTTTAAATTGGTTGCCAATATCTACCTTCTTTACAACAACACGTTTGACATTCGAAGACACAATATGTTTGGGGAAAACATTGGGGTGCACCATATCTAATTAAAACAATAACCTAAAATACTTAAAAATAGCTAAAACTGAAAACAGAGAGGTGAAAAATGAAAACTTATAGCATCCGAAAATACATTTTCAAATTCAATGTACGTTTTTCACCTTCAAAACAAGGTTAATGTAAGTAACGAGGATTGAAATAAATGATATTTACCTTGAATTCCAACTTCTTTTGCTCCTTTTAATGTGATGAAACACAAGAATAAAGTTTTGAAGTGAAAATCTTGATTGAGAATGGAAAAAAATTTTGAAAAAGGTTTTTAAAAAAATGGGCATGAGTCTGATAATGCATGTGACTACTTTATTAAAATCATGTTTGATATTTCTACAAATGCATCTTTGAAAATGACTGCACGCAAAGGTGACAAATTTTCAATTTGCCATTTCAAAACTCAGAAAATGCATATTTAAAAAATCCATTGAAATGTACAATAAACATTAATTTGAATTGATATATCTCGAAATGTATTTCCAGAATAAAATTTTGTTTTATAAAAAGATAATACTCATTTAATACATTATTCATTGATATTAAAATACGTTGAAAAATTTATCTTCAAAATCTAAATAATATTTTTAATTTTTCATAAAGATATATTTACACCTCTCAGTTTGAGACTAAAATAGCTATAGGAATCACACTTCTATAAACCCAAAATTTACTTAGCTATAGGAATCACACTTCTATAAACCCAATGAAACAATTTCAAAAGTAAGTCAAACAAACAGTACTGTGTTTATTTATTTAAAAAAACAACAAAAAAAAAACATATAAAAAGAAACTTGCTTTGAATTATTAAGGGAGCACCAATGGCAGTACTAACCTGTCACCGATACTACTTGGAAAGGCCTCAATTCAAGTACTTATTTTAAACCCTTAAATAATAATTATCAAATATAAAAACAAAAAACTCTAGCATTTTTTTATATATAAACAAACCACTAGTGATAAAGCCAACTCATAAAAGAGAAGCTTAACCTAGTTTCTAGCTGTTCATTATCTTGCACCACCGGCAATCTTCTCTTTTTCTTAGTACTCCAATGTGTCTAAATAGTACGGATATTTTTTCAGCATACTAACAAATATAGCACTCTCCAATGCATTCCAACAATACCCTTTTCAACCTTTAGAAAATAAAATATCTCTCCACTCTCTTCTCAACACTTCTTCATACTCATAATCCCTCTCTCTCTCTTGTACTTGTTTCAAATCTGCAAACATGAGTAACAAACAAGACATGATGAAAATTCAGGTACACACTTTTAGTCTTGTGTTGTGAACTTAACATAACCTTAAATCTGAAGTAGAGTTGTGTTCTTATGTGCTAACTGGTTTTTGGTTTTTTTTTCTTATGTAGAATTGTCTTCTCAAGGTGAATATCCACTGTGAAGGTTGTGAGCAGAAAGTAAAGAAACTTCTTCAGAAAATTGAAGGTACATTTTTTTATCATATAGTATTTTATTTTCATCTTGCTTAACATGTTAACTTTATTATGTCGGTTTTGTTTAAAACAAGAGCATAAACTTTACTATGTCGGTTTAACATTTTCATGTGTTTGTTAACTCTTGTTAATTACATGTTTGTTTGTCTTGTATATTCAAAGTTTTCAACTTTGTTATGTTTTTGTGTTAGTAACACATTTTGTGTTGTTTTTTTGTTGTGGTTTTTGCAGGGGTGTATTCTGTGAATATAGATGCAGAACAAGGGAAAGTTTTGGTGTCAGGTCATGTAGATCCGGCAAAGCTCATAAAGAAGCTGAGAAGTTCTGGGAAATATGCTGAACTATGGGGTGGCCAGAGAAGCATGGTGTTTAATCAAAATCAGAACTTTCAGCAACAGCAACAACAGCAACCTCAGTTTAAGAACGTGCAAATGGAGAACAACAAAGGAGGTAAGAATAGTAAGCCTCAGAATCAAAAGGGTCAGAAAGGCGGTGGCGGCGGCGGCGGTGGTGTTCAAGTTGCACAGTTTCAAAATCCTAAAGGGGGAAAAGATCTGAAAGGAGCGAACAAATCTCAGAAACATGTCAATTTTGACTTGTCTGAGGATGAGTTTGATGAGAGTGATGGTGATTTTGATGACTATGATGATGAAGATGATTTTGATGATGATGATGAAGATGATGATTTTGGTCATGGACAAGCTCATGGCAATGGATTTGGGCATCCTATGCAAAATAACAAGATGATGGCTATGATGGGTAATGGTCGCGGGCCACAGCTAGGGCCTGGGGGTATGATGAATGGGCCTGGGGGTATGATGAATGGGCCTGGGGGTATGAACAACCATAAAGGTAATGGTTTTGGTGGTGGGGGTGGAGGTGGAGTTGGTAATTATGCATCTGCCAAAAAAGGTGATGTTTTAGATCTACCTATGCAGATGAAGGGTAAAGGTGGAAATTACGGCGAGGTGAAAAATGGGAAAAAAGGCGGTGGTGGTGGTGGTGGTGGTGGTGAAGATGGTGGAAAAAAGAACAAAGGAGGTGGAAAGCAAAAAGGTGAAAGTGATTGGGAAGATGAAAAAAATAGTAGCAAGAAGAAGAAGAATGGTAAAACCAAAAATAGTAGTGGTGGCTTTCTAGTAAAGTTTCTAGGCCTTGGAAAAAAAAGCAAGAAGGGAAGTGCAAGTGAAGCAACAAACAAGAACAAAAACAATGGAGGAGGAGGTGGAAACAAAGGGAAAGAAGGTAAGAAAGGTGGAACAAAATTGGATAAACTTGATTTTGATTTTCAAGATTTTGATATTAGTACTCCTCATGGTAAAAATGGTAAATCTGGAAATGGAAATGGGAAAGGTAATCCTGCCAAGGTTAATAATAATGGTCATGGTAACAATAATGGGAATGTGGGCCAAATGGGTCCAATGGGTGGTGGAATGAATCAGATGGGCGGGATGGGTCGGATGGCTCCAATGGGCCAAATGGGTCCAATGGACCACATGAGGCCGGCAGTGCAAGGGTTACCGGCGGGTGCAGCGGCTGCAATGAGCGGTGGATATTATCCAGGAATGCAGCAGATGCAGATGCAACCGAATCCTTATCAGCAGCAACAACAGCAGCAGCAACAGCAATACATGGCGGCTATGATGATGCAGCAACAGCAGCAACAACAGCAAGCAAATATGAACAGCATGTATCCACCACACATGATGTATGGAGGAGGAAGGACACATCCATCAATGAACTACATGCCGCCACCACCAATGCCATCACACCCTATGGCAGATCCAATTACTCATGTTTTCAGCGATGAGAACACCGAGAGTTGCAGTATCATGTAAAGTAATTAATTAGTTATTATTTACTAGTGGCTAGTTTGTTTTTCAGGTTCTATTATTTTGTCTTTTTGGGTCCATTAAATTTTTGTTGCAGTGTTAGGAAAATGTGCAAGGTTTAAGGGATTTATCATATGCGGTTTGTTTTATTTCTGCTGTGTCCTGTGTTACGACAACCTTATGAGCAGAACACAGTGCCATTGTATTGTAAGGCAAATGAATGACAGTGTCTCTCACATGGCCTTTGGTAACTACTCAATCCTCAAACCTTATCTTAATACCTACTAACCATGGCTTGACCAAGTTATTATTTCTTTATATCACTTGTCTGTCTTGACAGACACTTCATAACAAAACAATAAACAGAAAAATATTTAAAAATGCAACATTATTGAGGAAAATGGAGTAGGAGTGTGATACTCTATGCTTCTCTGTCTCCTCTTTTTATCTAGTCTAGCTCAAGTTGTGAAATACAATGATAGTACAAGTCTTAGGTGTTATGAATTTGAGTCCTTGTGGGAAGGTAAGAAATACCATATGATAGATATTCCTATGAAGTATGAACAACAAATTGGTAGCACCTAGCACACTAGAGTCTGGTTTGACCCTTATATAAAAACGTACCTTTGAACTATGCTAGAGTGTCCAAAAGCGTCAAAAGATGTGAGGGGAAACGGCTTAGGGAAGAAATAAAATTGAGCAATCTACCTACCATTCCTTGAGCTTTATCTCTCACCTCCAATTCATATATAAAAGAGAGACTATTTTTTCTATATCATGTATTTATATGGTATATATTTATACAAAAATTACAAATAAATTAAAGTTAAAAGATAATAATGATGATTTCAATCAAAATAAAAGGGCTAGAGCTACAATTTATTCTATTGATCGTGGGTTAAACTATTTTAAAAATGCCTTAGTATCTTTTTTAGTTCCAGATGTTAATAGATTCTTTAATTTAGAAATAGTTTATGTCCTTAATTTTTCAAAATATGTTTGTCATTTGTTTAATTAGTGACGAAAAAAATTTAAAAATCAGTCACTAAATTTGTTATTAATTAAACAAAAATATATAATTTAAAAAATCAATATGTTTTTTTTTAAATTAAGAAACTAAAATGAAGTTAAGATTAAACAAAAATTATATTAAATTCTTTTAAAATTGATTTCTAATAGAGATATGTAACAAATAGTTTTTTAAGAAAATTTGTTAGAAGTAGTTAGGACTTAGTCAAAGTTTGTTAGATGTAGTTAGGAGTTACATAAAGTGAAATATGTTGTATAACTAACTCAACTATTAATTGTATAAGAAATGAGATGTCATTTGTATGTGGTAAGAAAAAAAAAATACACATTTGATTCTAATGTGTATCATTTACCTAGAATTTTGCCGATTCTTTTATCTAGATATTTTGCCCTTTTTTTATATATTTAAAATAACTTATTTATTCAATTTAAATATCAAAATAACATATTTTTTAATTTATTTTTTAAAGTGATGTAGTTTTAGAAGAACAAAACATACCTATATCATTTTAGTTGGAATATATGCACTAGTCAAATCAAATGTCGCCTACACCTCTTTGCCTTAATTTAGAGTGCAAGTGCCATATGATATGATGCATCTTCCCTAAATTAATTTTTTTGTTTGTTTTATAATAAAAGTCAATTGAAAATAGGTTAAAAATTAAGGGAAAAAAAAGAAACAATTAAAAATATTATTAAAAAACATTAAAGTTTACAAGAAATGAAAAAAAATATCAATGTTCAGCCCAATCAAAACGTCTCCTGGTTCCACATCTCGGCGCATTAGCATGCTTCTGAGGTCTATCACGATTTTGTTGAGGTATTTGTGATCTTTGCGTATTTGCCCGTGAAAAATGTATTTGTTACGAGGGTCTCAGCGTATTTGACAAATTTCAATCATCCGCCCCTAATAGTCGGGGGGCGGGGGATTGCAGCCAACGCCGCTTCCGTATTCAGTTTCATGCCCATGTTTTTGAAATTGGGACGAAGTGGTTGGGTTAGGTGTAGACAGTATGGTTGACCGAATTTTTACATTGAATCGTTTTTGAAACAATGCAATGGCTGTTGTGGGGTAAGGTAGTCAAATATTGGTTGGGTGTTTTGGTGGTAGAATTTATGTGTGGTCGGGGGGGGGGGGGGGGGGAGATTGCAGCCAACGCCGCTTCCGTAATTCAGTTTCATGCCCATGTTTTCGAAATTAGAACGAAGTGGTTGGGTTAGGTGTAGACAGTATGGTTGACTGAATTTTTACATTGAATCGTTTTTGAAACGATGCAATGGCTGTTGTGGGGTAAGGTAGTCAAATATTGGTTGAGTGTTTTGGTGGTAGAATTTATGTGTGGTCGGGGGGGGGGGGGGGGGGGAGATTGCAGCCAACGCCGCTTCCGTAATTCAGTTTCATGCCCATGTTTTCGAAATTAGAACGAAGTGGTTGGGTTAGGTGTAGACAGTATGGTTGACCGAATTTTTACATTGAATCGTTTTTGAAACGATGCAATGGCTGTTGTGGGGTAAGGTAGTCAAATAGTGGTTGGGTGTTTTGGTGGTAGAATTTATGTGTGTTCATATGTGTGGGGACTATGGTGGGCTGAGGTGGAGTCGAATGAGTCATCGGGGCTATAAGCAGATGTGGTGTCGGTGTGTGGATGTAGGTGGTAAAGGTCCGACTCTTGTTGTTGTGATTGGCTGAGTGGCATGAATGAGTTGCGGGTTTGGAAGTTTGATTGCGTGGGTAGATATTGTTGTTGGGTGTGGTGCGAGGTTGGTTGTTGGACAGGTGTTTGTTGTTGTGTGTATGATGACGAAGCACGTTGGCGCGGATCTATCAAATATGTCGGCTCAGACACAAATTGTTGTGTTATAACTGACCTAAACCAAATCATGTATTGATGACTTGGTCTAACCCCTTCCACGACAGGGTCGTTTAAGATGTGGCGACGTCAATTATATCAATGTCGTCACATCTCTTTAGCAAAGTCTCTCCAATCATTGCAAACCCATTGTGCATCTATTCTCAATTGATGACAGTTTCCCAAATACGTCGGATCAACTAAAATATCTTGTTACATGTCGAACTGCAGTTTCACTTGATCACTTTGGTGCATCTCCACTGTAGTGAACCGAATTATTATTGTTTTTGTTGTCCAGACTGCAACATCATCAGGGTTAGACTGATGGTCGAGTCCCAGATACGACCTCTAGACAAACTGCATAATCAAAATACTTAATGAGAAAAATTGCAGTGTGTTAATTTAATAGCCAAATTTACAATAGTGAAAGAATAATTTACATCGTTCGACCCAATGTGGTCTAAAAGATTGCGGTTCACGATTATTGCGTTTCTGGGACATCGTTGATAAGTCATTCCTAGAACTGACCACCTAAAAAAAATTGAGATAAATAAATTAGTTACAAATAAACCTTTTATCAAAGTAAACATGTTTGATATTTTAAAATAAACTTACTTGTTTGTGTAGGGGAATGTGTATGGATTCGGGTTAACTGGAGTGAATGTCGGCATTCTTGACCAACCCCATGCTTGAAGTAGAAAGGCACAACCATAAAACGTACAAGTATTTATTTATTTTTTGTTGCATTTTTACATATGTCACTATATAGATGAGCCAAAACATTTGAACCTCAACTATAAGTGCATACTTTATAAATGTTGCGTAACAACGACAAATACATAATATTTATAATATTTCTAGTACTTTCAAGAAATAAAAAATGTCCAAATAAAATCATAATATAACACCGAGTTTTTATTATTTTTTCATACTCGGTGGATTCGTCGTCTAATCTGATACGTACATAATGTTCTCTAAGGTATTTTAAATTTATACCTTGACCCCTAGGTTGACCTGCACGTTATGTCTACAAGAATCTTGTGGGTCAAATCATCTACAAGAATCTAGTGTTTTTTGCCGACAATCAATGCAAATTTTTTCAGTTAAAGGTTCGAGATAATGAAGATGTTCATAATATGTTTCTTATTCATGAGTATTTTAGATTCAATGATATTTATCTTTATATTATATTACAACAACAACAAATGTCTCAACTTGTTGATCTTTCTCAAGTTTTTTGCGAATCTGACGACGAAGAAGCTGAAGTCGAAGTTGTAGACGAAGAAGAAGGAGAAGCCGAAGTAATTGTTGATAAAATGGTAAACGATTCCACTGGTGACCATGAGGAAGACATATTACCAGCTGGTCATGTTTATTGTCCACCTCAACATATGACAAGCCTGAACTTGGGTGCAGATGAACCATCAGCAAATATTTTTTACAATCCATATATACAAACACAAGGAGTATTAAAAGAGGGAGACAATTTTCGTACAGAAGAAGACTGTGCTCGGGCTATAAAACAATATCACATGGAATTATCAACTAATTATAGAGTCGACCGAACGAATCCGACTCTGTATAAGATCTACTGTCGTAACGAGGTGTGTTCGTTCCGATTGACAGCATCTTACCGAAAGAGAAGCGATTCTTGGAAGATAAGGTCTATGAGTCAAGAGCAAACTTGTATAATCACTAACCCAATGCAGGATCATCGAAAAATAAACTCTTAGTTGATATGCAATGAAATTATGTATGTCATTAGAGACAATCCTTCTTTGAAGGTGAGTACCATCATCTCGCATATTATTCAAAGATACAACTATACTTCGTCGTACAGGAAAGCATGGATAGCTAGGACTAAGGCATTTCAAACAGTGTTCAGAAATTGGGAGGAGTCGTAGAAAGAACTTCCAAAATACTTGGTGGCACTTAAACAATATCCTTCAGGGACTGTTGTCATCTTGGAGACCTTCTTGGCGTATACCCCAGACGGGACTTGTGCCAGTGGAAATGATATTTTCCACCGACTCTTCTGGGCATTTGAAACTTGTATCAAATATTTTGTATATTGTAAACCTATTATATAAATTGATGGAACATGGTTGTACGAAAAATATAAAGGAA